TCCACCTTTGTGGGATAAAATAGCTGCTTTAATACAATTGTGCTAATTTTAGCCAAACTAAATAGTTTTACATTACCTGCTGCGGCTGCGAGCCTTAGAGTCCTTCTTCTCATCGTCTGATTTGTCTGCCACTGATGAGTTTTCGTCATCTTCTTTGTCCTCTCTCTTTATGTCAGAGCTGCTGGAGGAGTGTGTGGAGCGGGACATGCCTCCAGGGAGACCTACCACACGCACATTGGGGTTAAAACAGTGAACCATGTAGAACAATTCAATATTATGCATTTATTTGTGGCTTACTGCTAAAGCCTTCAGGCTGCCCAGCTGACTGTGTGGGTCCAGATGCGTGATGACCGTGGAGAAGAGTGCTGCTGGGAGGAAGACCTGCAGCCTCCTCATCTTTTCCGCCCTGATACAAAAACAATGGAAAACTCACATTAAGATTATTTAAATTCACTACATCATACTTTTTCCACCCACATTTCAAATTTCAGCCATAGCCAAGTGGCAAATTATTTGATTTCTCTTGAAAACAGTTGTAAATAAACTTACCATTGCGGGATGTCTGTTGCTCAAAGCAAGACTAGCGCTGGGGAAAGCTGGGGAGAGGCCCCCTAGGGCCCCATTGTGCACAGCGGTCAGCAGGTTGTGCATGTCGGTATGGGCACCCTCCAAACCAGGGGCCTGGCCAACAGCATGACTGCGCAGTACATGTATGGCCTCCTCTAAACGATCCTCCATTTTATTCTGCTACAACAGATATACAAGAATACTCAATGAGCTTAGTGTCCATTTTAAATCATTACTGAGTACTACATAAGTACTACATACCAGTGCATGAGGCTGCCCTTCATAGCTCGGTGTGGTAGGTCTTTGCCACTGAGATTGAGCTCCTACACAGACATGTGCAAGTACATTGTGCATTACTTGTGTATTACACCAGGTGGCACTGCACTCAAACCATTGTGCTTCATGTGCTTTTTATTCAATTTCCGCCCTTTTTTCTAAGCCAAAAACAAGGCTGCAATCAAACTGGCTGCATTAAGTAAATAGATCTGATGCCAAAAAATATGGTGGTTTATATCCAATTTTGCTGACAAGTTGAGAACAAGAACAGATCAGATTCACCTGAATTAACCAAATGACACAATTGCAATCAGCAGCGAAACATCCAGCTTCAAAGATGTAAAAGGCCTGTCAAGTGTGCCTTTAGAGTGAATCAATGTTTACTTAAATTAGTAAACATTATGTAGAATTGTTTTAAAACTTCACACACAAATCAGCCCCACAAATACATAATCAGCAACAACGTACACATGTAAGCTTCAGAATACCTGTAATTCCCTGAGGAGACCCAGGTGTTGATGGGGCTGATGAGAAGTTATTACTGTTATGGTCCGACGGGTAAATCTGAAGGTTAAAAACACAAAATATTGCATCCATAATTTTGTTTGCCCCAAATATATACTTAAAATTTTGAAATGAAAGCAAACATTTACACAGCAAACGCCAAACATTCTGTAAAACAACACTTACTGAGGCAAGAGCTTTGCCAATTTCATCGCCTGAGCTGCCAGCGGTAGTGCCTCGAGTAGCTGCAAACAAAATAAAATTAATATAAGTAGTACTTTTTAAAGTTTGAAATATAAAAAATAAGTGTGAATATTGGTCATTCTGACAGTGACAAACAAAAACATTAAAAGAAGGTTCTTACCCATGATGCCTTCCCCGTTGATGGCGGGTGTGTGACTGTAGGTTGTGGGGGCTGGGTGAAAGCCATTGACCTCACTGCCGTGTAGAGGATAGTTCTATGGGGAGCACTTCATTAGGCTGAATGTATTTCTTAAGACATCTGACCACATCCAGCTCTACTTACCATCCTGTCCTGTGGATTTAACGCAGAGAAGGAGCCTGGCTGACCAAGGTGGGCATTGCCGAGCATGGCAGAGTATCCAGAAGATGACCAGGGATCTTCTAGAGCCAGAAATATTTGTAAATAAATGCAACCTCAAATTTAGTTGAGCACATATAAATACATTAATACATTAAATATAATTATTATCAATATTGCGCTGTTCTGGCATCTACATCAGAGGAGCATTACCTTGCATGTAGAAAGAGCCTGGGTAGACAGCTCCAGATTTAGCACCAGGATATCCGCTACCGTCTCTGGCATACTCATCACCAGATGTGGAAGCATACACCTAAAAACAATAAAATTGCACAATTATTTACTTCCTGGTTTCATCAATAATCAGCGTGAAAAAGGAGAATCCACAAGCAAAAACATAAATTATAGCTGCATGTGGCCACAAGATGGCAAGAAGGAGCCCATGTGCAGGAGAGCCAAGCTCTGGGCCTGTGGAGAAGAACACAGCGGCCATGGCATGCTGGGCACTGACAAGCAGCTCCCAAAGCACAGTGAGCACTTCCTCTAAGCTCAAGACCCAGTGACACTGCAGCCCCTCCCTCTGACCAGCAGTATCAGCTACACACATACCATGCATTCAGCAGCAACACTCACTCCACAGCCACCGTCCAACTAACATGGCGTGTGACATCGAGAAGAAATATTCACTCATTAAAATGGACTGCCATGACAACACTGAAAAACAATAATCCATTAAACACTAAAATAATGCCCATGGAAGTGACTCATTGTCCTTCAGTTCTTAAAAACAATCAGACTCAGGACAGACCTAAAGAGTCCTACATTTCCTGACACTTTGGTCCATCTTTCCCTTCCGTTTAGAATGGCGGAAAGAGGAAGGGAGAGAATGGATGCTATGCTGCAAAGAATGCTAATCCAGAGAAGGGATTTTTTCTGTAATTTGATTTAACAGGGAGAAGTGGAAAGGGAATGGAGAGATGCACTTCTAATTACAGAGCCATCTGCCTGTTCCTGGACCACATCCAACTCCACAGGCAGCTGGGCTGAGGAGAGGGAGAGGAGGCAGAGAGATGGGGGCTGGGATCCAGTCACTGCGAGAGGGAGAAGGAGAGGAGGAAGAGAGATTGCGGTGGGTAGGGGGTGGTAAAGGGGCAAGGGGGGCTGAGGGGAAAAATGAAGCCCTGATGATTTATGAAATGGTAGGGAGATAAGGGCTGTTGAGGGGGACAGGAGAAGGTAATCTAAATGACTTAAACAAAGCCTGATATGGCCAGGGGAGTGTGAAGGAAACAAGGGATTTAAATGATCACAGTTAATTCAGGGGAAAACATGATGGAGATGGCTTCATTTAACAATAGGCTTTGAGTTGTTCTTTCATGAGGAACAATGTTGAGTGATTCCTGCTGCTTTATACGTGAACAGAGCTCTACACAATGATGGTTGCTGCAGGATAATTGTATTCTCAGGAAGAAAAGGGATTTCTAGGGTAAAATCCTCCACTAATAGGGGTTTAATGCAATTCAGGTTATGACCGTGCAACCATCTCTGCGCTAGAGGAGCGTGGGCAGTAGCAGAGGCCGGGGCTAGATTAACAAACTCAACTCAAAGCATTTATGCACAAAGTCTGAAAGTGACCAAAGGACTGCCCTTCTACAGGGAGCTGCTGCAGGTGACCATTGGGTGTAGGTAGAGCAAAATACAGAAGTCAGAAAGGGATCACTGGCAATATTTGAGTAAAAAACACATGGATGTTAAAGGTGGCACAACGTAAGTGTAAGAGTGGATCATCAGCAGTCATTAATCTGGGCTCAGACACGGGTAAGAGGCCTTGCAGCACTGCGTCTCACAACTGGGTCACTCACAGGGGGAGGCCCACCCAGGCCATCATGTGGTAAGGCGGAGGCTGGCGGAGGGTGGGGGAGGGTGGGTTCACACACAAATAACTCATCATTCGGACTAAAAGCATGCAGCTATCATTCACACTGTGCCAAACAGCTGAGGTTTAGACACCCAGAGAAAGGGGTGGGACATAGCAGGGTAAACAACACACAGAATAGGAAATGTTTGTCTACAACCACTGGACTGTCCAACAATACTTCACTTTTTTAGTTGTTCAGATCAAACTGCACATTTATGCCTAGAAATCTTAAACGTCAAGGCTTTGGAAATATACTAATAATACTCACATAATATTTTCAGAAATATAGTACTAGCAACAATAAGGTTAATCACAACAAGGAGGACAGCTCAGTTTTGAACACATTTATCAATAATAGTCCATAGTATGTCCAGTATAGTTTTATTTTTAGAGTAAAACCATATTTCGTCCACCAAAAACATTGAACTCATCGCATTTCCAGTTTCAACCTAGTGCTACTTTCCAATGGTGTCAAAAGGGGATAGAAATTGACTTCACATTATCCAAATTAAATGGAAAACTATGCACAACAGAAACCTGATGACAAAAGGCTACATGAAACAAGTTTACAAATTGCTAAAAACGTAACAAGCACCACCAGACTCTGTCAGACAGGGCTAAAGACCGATATCACTGGCTCGCTCAGTAATACAACAGAGCTGTCTGTGCATGTGTGCATCTGTAGTGTGTGATCAGAGCCCATAAGAAGAGAGTGTGAGCAAAGAGAGAAAGAGAAAAAAGAAGCCAAAGGCTGTGAAGACAACCAGAAAAAGGTCTCACCGAGGATGGCAGGCCAGGGGGTTTTCGAATCTTCTTTGGCTGAGAGTCTGTTCACCAGGCAGAGGGGTGGAAAAAAAACAACAACAATGTAGTACACTGGTCCACACGTGAGTTTAATACACACAATATCAACAATATACATGGTGTTAACGATTATAAAAGCATTGTGAAAAGATATTAGCAATGACAGAGGTTTTTCTGTGACTGATGTCATTAGCGTATTAGAATACGCCAAAATGCAAATCAATGAATGTTTTGAATGTCCACCTACCTATGCTGCTCTCTGTAGGCCTTCTCCTGGGATTGTTAGTGTATGACGGGTAAAACTGAGAGCTGGATTTCAGACCAGAGGGAGACATGGCATCCGGGCTTGGCAACGCTATGTCACTAGGAAGAAACCCAGGCTACAGGACATAAAATAAATCAGTGCTATTATCCGTTAATTTAAAAAATACATTTGCCCAGTATGATGCCAAACTTACCTGGCTTCCAAATGGGGGGTAAGGTGGCCTCTCACTTTTACCTAAAAAAACCAACAAAAAAACAAAAACAAAATAAACTATTTTAATTTACCCAAACTAACTTAAACTTATGAAAAGTTGTCAGCATATACATTTTTTTTAATCAGAAGATGCCCTCCCCTATTTCAGTTCGCTCAGCTGCATAACGCAGCCTGCCAGACAAAACCCTGGGGAAGGTTTCCGCGTCAATGCACCAACATCCCTAACGTTTAACGAATGAACACAGACACACTTACATGTAGACACACACAGTTTGCCATGCAGAAAACACTTTTTGGGTCAAAACATTTTATGCTCATAAATTAAGTTGTTTATTATTATCTACACGTATTCCATTTACACTGACTATTAAAGAGGGACTAAAGGCTTTTTAAAACAAGACTTTTTATTTTTATTTTGTACACGTGATATGCTTTGGGTTTTTTTTTGTTTTTGTTTTGACCAGAACGGGTAACTGAGGTTTTGTGGCATAAATGTAAACAGCATTATAAATAAAATGTATGATTACACCTTGTAAACAGCAAAATAAAGGCTCTGTTTACAGTTTGGACATGTTTATTGCTTTGCTTAAACCTTATTACGATTAGAAGAATAAGAAGTATGTACCTGTGATGCCAGAACTGAGGAAAGGAGAGGACAAGGCCTCATGCTCGCTGTAGTGGGATCCTTCAGCATAACCCTGGAACAATTTATAGAAAGATGAAGCTCAGCTCTGCATTTTAAAAAGGAAAAGAAAATGCTAACAATCCCTTGAGGTGATGCAGTTTTTGCAAGCACACCTAAAACTACTTTCTACAGGATCAATGCCAAATAAATCTACATCAGCGCCGGAGATTCTAACAGACATCCTTAATTATCAACTTGTGGTAATCAAAGCTTCCTGCATCTTTTTCACCCCTTCTTCCTTGTATTTACACAGACTTGTGCCAAGATGGTTACGGTGAATGTAAAACCGCAATTACCGGTGGGCTTCAACTGAGGTTCTTGGCTAGCACAGAGCTGGCCAAGTATGGACTGCAAGCCAAGTTTTAGGAAGAAAAGAAATTGACTAAAAACCGAATTGCAAATTGTGCAAAAAGGCGTTGCAATTGATGTTTTAAGTAGTACGATTCAATTCTCTATCATTAAGAAATGTGTGTGTAACTTACCCGTCCTTGGCTGAAGGAAGGACTGTTCTGTTCAGCTGATCCCCAGGACCCAGAGCCACTGCGCTCGTCTATCGCTGAAAAAGATGAAACATTCAAACATCTTTGTCATTATGAAGGTCAAATAGGTAAAGAAAATTATGCCAATTTTTCACAGGGGAATAACAACAAGTCGTGGCAGGTAAGTCCGAAATCCCTAAGGTTAGGATGTCCTTTTTCAAGCATATCATGCTGTTAAGTAGACACAGAGGAATAGCGCACAAATATCCACAGTATTGATCAGAGACAGCATTTCAGCAGTTATGGCGCTACTGGAGATAGACTTATTCTCAGCCTTAATCCAATGAACCATCAACAAAAAACATAATTTATTGTATTTTTTAAAAAAGGTAAAGAAAACAACCCGTGAGTGGCACAAAGGAAACACAGAGCCAAAAGACTAGTGGAGCAGAAAACTCCAAAATACCCCCATCATCCTCTTCTCCCTGTCTTCTGCACTAATGCTATCCAGGCTCTCTAGAGACACAGGGCTTAATTGCATGCTGATTTGCATAATTGTGCATATTAATGTGGCTTCCTTATGAATATTCATATTTAGTCTTTGATTTTTGCCTAATTAAAAAAATGTGTGTGAGAAAGCAAAAGTGGGCTGGAGCAACTGGAAGAAAAAGCAAGGGGAGAGAGAGAGAGAGAGGGGTCCAGGCAGATCAGCAGCCGGCAGAGACAGAGAATGAGTGATGAGACTAACAGAGCGGTGCAAGCACCTACACGTGCTGCGACAGCCCTGATCTATGGAGTCGATGCTTGTGGCATCCACAATAAGGAGAAGCACTCTCAGCACATCCGCCTCAGTCATGGTCAGCACAGCCCAAAGGTGGCACCTTCACTTAAAATACCCCAAATGTATCATATACATTATGTAACTTAATGTTGTGTTAATAATCCTGTTGAAATGTAAACTCCAAACTCCACTGACTCCAAACTTCATGTTTACTGGCTCACTGCAGCCTCTAAGACACTGTGAAGCCCCATTTGGTCAGCAGGGGTGCAGAGGATGGAGTGAAAACATGGCTGAGCAGGAGAAGTCTGACAACATTGTTTCACACTTAGTGGAGTAATTAACTTGGAGCCAATTAAAACAAGGTGAAGAGCTGCTGAGGTGACACTGACACACTGCCAACCCAGGAGAGTCATGCTCTGCCAAAAACACACATTTGTTTTGCAGTGGATTATTTTTAAGAGCTATTTAGTGTAACTACAGGAAGTCAAAAATATTGTAATACATTTTGCTAAATGTTGCATGCTGTTAGATTCATTATATCAAAAATCTGTCATTAAAAAACAACCAGGTTTGTTACATGGACATTGGGTCTGAGCCTAAAGTATAGACAGATAAAATTTTTGGCAACAGAGCAGATGCGTGCGCAACCTGATTGCAGAAAATGCCTCTGTCTACACAGCTAACATGAAGTTGCAAGTTAACGCTAAAAACTAAACAAACTAAAACAGTTTATCACTGTGTGATAAAATAAGTTATGATGCTAAATTAATATTAGTGAGTGGGATACATCTTAATAATCCATATGTGTTAAATGCAGGTGAGTAGCCAAACATACGTTCATACCTGATTGATACAACTAGCCCCACACCCCGGGAGAGCCTGAAATCTACTGAAATCCTATGAGACACTGACATGATACAAGACAGGACAGCAGCACTTTCTGCAGGAAACATGCGCAGTAGAGCACAAAGTGATGTATAAAGTATAAACTTCAAGAAAATAACAGTATCCACTGTCATTTTTAGCTTAGCTTCATTAATCCTACTGGGTACGGTGTAGTGGATTGACACAGAGGCTCAGTAAATGGAGCACTTATCCACTGACTTTAAAGTTGATACATTATTGGAATAAAAGATAGATAAGTTCCACTCTAACCAGTGCATACTGCTATTGTGCCCTTAAACAAGACATTCAACTTGCTCATATGAATGTGGTGTAGACTTGAATGGTAGCAATGGCTCAGATTGGCAGGCTTGCCAGGGCAGCTCTGGCTACAGACACAGATTACTACAAGGCGCTAAATAAATCCAAAGCATTATCATTACAAACAACTCTGGTTTCCATGACATGCAAAATTCACAACGTTGTTGTGATTTAGCGCTGTCTGTGTGTCGGGGGCTGGCTGCACTGCCAGCAGCTGCAGAGGTGACAGAGGAGACGCCTGAGGCCCATGACCCGCACGGCCGCCCTCTCCCGACACACTCTTCCCGCTCACCACCACACTCTGGCCACTGAGGAAGAGCCAAGGACGCCTAATGCAATTAGCACCCCTCTGAGCACTTTTGTGTTGATGAATAGAGGTGGTCTGGTCAGCCACTAGCTGCTCACTGCAGTTCCCGCGCTGCAGGTCCCTGAATATACAAGCAGCACATGTGACGTCAGAGGAGGCCGCTACTCTGTTTTGGACATTATTTTTGAAGAGGCATTGAAAAATCTTTATACATCTGTTCTGTTTTACTAAATTACTTACTTTTGGACAAGCAGGGCCAAGAACGCAATCTCAAAAATGTATATAAAAGGGGGGAAAATGTCCTCAAAAAAAGGAAAAAACAAGGGAACATCATTTGTTTTAGAAAGATAATTGAGGCGTATAGTTCTTATGAAGAAGGGGTGAAGATTGATGACAGAGTCCAAAAAGAAAAGTAATTTAAAGTTAAAGGGTTGAATAGAGATGGGACATCCAGACACATGGAAGAAGCACAGCTGCATATATGAGGCATAACATGTTTAAAGTCTGATATACAACCCGGAGAGCTGAGCTTCATCTGTCAGAGCACACAGGGCTGTGTCAGATCCTCCGGAGCAGCTCCTGCTGTGCCTAGAGTCCAGTTAAAGTGAGGGTCGGAGCTGCACGAGGCTGTGAGGCGGTCATTGTGACAGCTTCAAGTATCACATTAAAATGGGTGTCAATGACCCGGGGCCACACTTTTGGACATGAGGAGGGGCAGAGGAATTAACTCCTCAGTGCTGAGTAATTGCCTGCTGTAATAGAAACAAACAGGATTGGGCCTTCCCCTGGCTGATCCCTCCATTCACTGAGAGCTCTCTTCCACTTTGACCACTCGCGGCATGCTGGGCTGTTTAAGAGGCTCGGAGCTGTGGGTGAGGGACATTGTCTCAAACTCCAGCCATTTCCTGCAGATCAGTGGGGGTGAGCGCCCTGTGCAGAGTTGGGGGAGGAGTGTTTTATAATTCAGGGTGGGGGAGTCGTTTCAAGTCCATAAGCTCTTTTTGCCTTTGTTCCTTAGTGGCCAAGTTCTCACTCTGGGGAGCACTGGGAGTGTGACTCCATTTCACACACCAGGTTGGCAGGGTGACAGAATGAAAGTAACACGGCTTACTAATAACATTCAGGAAGAGGGAAGCACTCACTCAAAAGGCCTAAAGGTGCACACAGTGGTTCACTTGTAGCTGCTACTTTGCACTCAAAAAAGTGAGATAATCAGGTAGCTGTCAAAATACAGCAGAGAAGCATTTTGATTTTAAGCCCCACATCACAGCACCAACAACAAGCAAATGTGACAAAACAGAAATTAATTATGAGAATATAAATTATGCTTTAGCCATTATTTCTTTAGTTGTGATTTTGAATAAAGAAATTCAGATTTTAAAACAACACACATAAGCACTTACCTGATCCACCAAACTGACTGCTGGCAAGGGTCATGGGCCTGTTCTTTCCATTGGCTACTGGCGGAGCAAACATCTAAAAGACAAAAAGAAGAGCACTGTTAGTGAAATGAAGGCAAGCACACTTCACACATTGGTTCTGGGGCAATAAAGGCATCAAGTTCAGTGTGTGAGACAGATTTGTGTCAACAAAGGTACACAGTGTCTACACTTAAAATTTATATTATTTTCTATATTCAAACAAAACATACAAATACCATCTATAGGTTTGATCTAATTAGCTTATAAATTTCTTTGACGAGAGCCAAATTAAAAATGAACAATGGAGATGGACAATTCACATTTAAGTTGAACTATATCCATCCAATAACTGAGCCTTGTGGCATCTTTTAGTTCTACTAAATTAAACATGTCCAAGCTAAGACAAATGGCTAACCAGCAACTAAACAAAGAAAAATTCTAGTGCATTCAGTTGTCAACAGTTTTTAACCATTTTCAATGTTAAATTTAGGATGAACATCTGTTGATGGAAATTGGCAGCAGATCAATCTGACTGAGCATTTCTAACACAAACCCCAGTGTCTAATGAGGACCGCCCACATGCCCCTCCACAAGAAGCGCTCTACCCCGAGAGGTTCAACACTGAATGGAGCTCGAAGACCAAAATTTGCCTTCAACAGTCTCCGTCTTTTTAAACGGGGTCCGCTGCTCTGTACCATTTTCCATACACTAATAATTGTGTCCATGCAAGTCTGACAATAGCAAAAATACAGAAAAGAAACCAATGAGAGCATATATCAATCAAGTCTAAAGCAAGTTATGCAGAATAGAAGAGCATTATAATTTGGAAATTTTACTTGATCATTTTCATTGCTTTGTTATTATATGGCCTATAATGTTCATCCTAAGACATTTCACGTAAGTTAGCATATGGACCGTCACCACTAGCACAGCTACAAGAACGAAGGCCAAAAATAACACAATGAAAACAAATCACACTGGTTGTGCCCCTTGCCTCCCCCTGTCCCCTTTACCCCAATTTTGCCCACCTATCACCCCCCATCTCCACAAGCTTTGTCCCAGTCTTACCGCGCTGAAATCCAGGAGGTCGCTTAGTTCCTTGTCTGTTCCAACTGCAGCCATTCTTTGCTGCTGTTCGTTCATAACCCTTAGCCTTAATAAACCCTAGGAGAGAAAATGTGCGTAGAGAGACTTTAGTGGCTTTGGCAAGAGCAGAAATGGTACAAGCAGCAGTTAAAGGTTCAAATCAGTCTACCTGCATTTTCACCTCACTAATATTAGCTCTAAACGATCTTTCACTTCTCTTTAGCATAAACTAGATAATACAGATGATGACATTATCATTTTGATTTCTGGTTGGGTTGATAGCACAGTCTTATTGCAAAACAAAATGTAGGCATAATAAACATATCAGCTCTTGTCCCACCCACAAAAATTCAAAATCATCAAAAGACTAACTCAAGCTGGAGGAGAGGAAGACACAACCATGGAGTAATAAGCACAACGCTTTAAGTCAAATTTCCTACAAAATCAATGTATTGTCCTTGATTTTAGGCCAAGTAAGGCAAGTAACAATTGTATGGCCAGCCCATCATTGGTACATTGCATTACATTTATTATTAGAGGTATTATTAGGACCATTTGTTAAAAGAAATAAGGGTGAAAGGCAAAACTAATGACTGTATGCAAACATATGATTACTAAATTACCCCACAGGCACGTAAAAAAAAAACTGTCAAATGACACGGAGCATAAACACAGGATTTACCCTGTGTTTTGCATTCCAGCGTGAGCCTAGGGCCGCTGAGAGAGCTCCTCTCCACAGCTCACAGGAAACCGGCGATAAGGAGAACAGAGGCACTCGGACACCAACAGGTGGTGTACTTTTACAGCCTCTTTCAAATATTCCAGCAACCAAAAATATTCATGAATGGTCCAAAATCTACCAATTGGAAGTTTTTAAATGACAATTCACAAATCACCAAAATAGCCATTTAAAACATAAGCCTACATCAATCTTTTCCAGAGGTTTCCTGGAAAAACTAGGTGATGTAGGTTAGGCCTTTGAAAATATAAACAAAAACAAGTAGCCATGTTAAAATAACCCTTTCTGCTAATCCGTACACTTGAGGTGTAGTATAACAAAATGGCATCTCCAGCTTCTGCTGGATCAATATTTGAAGCCAGCACATTAGGGGTCTTTGTCACCAAACACAAGCAGGAAGACAGGTCATCCTCCAGTTTAATTAGAAGTTAGGTCGCTTATTGTAACAGTTAAAGGAAAAATACAATATCTGGAGGTCTCCGAAAAGTTGGTACAGGCCTATATTAGAGAATCATAATCTAGGCTACGCAAGATAGTCTAAAAAAGCTAATAACAAGTCGAGACATTGATTTTATCTTATCAATATTATGATTTTACAGATGTAGCCTAATCAGATGTTACGACAATAAACAAACGCCTGTAGTCCTCCTGTGAGAGAAGCGTATTATATCTATAGGTTACTATAGCCTACATAAGGCCATTTGATCATGTTGGCAAAACAATCTACGCTGTTTACAATAAAAGTTACCTTATATTAGTGTTCTAACCGTGACAAAGTCACGATTAGCGGTCTGGGGTGAAATAAACACGTGCGTAAAACAAGCTTGATGTTTAGGACAAAGCAGAAAAGTTCGAGCAACTGATCTCTTTCTTTCTCATGTTAGGGTTCAGGTCGAGCATTAGGAGTTCAGTGGAGAAGATGGTGGGGGTGGGAGCAAGAGGAATTTCCTGCCAAATGTGCAATAAAATAAAGTCTAGCTGGTGGCCAGACACAGACACATCCATAAAGGGATGTTTTAAAAGCCACAGGGGCGTTTATTGAAAGTTTGTTTCCCCAATAGCTATAGCTAACAAGCTATGCTACATAATATAGCCAAGACCTACAACACCAACTTCAGTTAAAATACGGCCCTTATGGCGATATTTTACATTTTCACTAGGCGTAGCGCAAACATCTGAGTTACACGCCAAAACACAATGTAGGTTATTGTGGATGACTAAAACATGATGTTGGACCGTTCGCAGAACAAAGGAGTAATTTCCTCCGTGGTCGCTGTGTGGAGACCATCACACACTTGGCTCGCCACCTCAATCCAGACAAAAACTTGCGTCCCCCGCTTTAACCACACATTCCCGAAAACTTTTCGAAAAACGCAGGCAAAATTACGCGCAGAGAATGTGCAACAACAAAAACATATTGAGCTTAGTTTACCTCAGTCCAAGCGTGTAGTATCCAACAATAAAAAGAAAACCAAGTCTCCTATTGGAAAAAACATAAAACTTCAAGAGAATTTCGACCTCCGCGCATGAAACGCATTGGGGCACTGTGGACGTCTTCCTTTTGTCCCGGTAAGCCCGCTTTTCACGCTGCACCCACGTGTTTGCTTCAGTGTAACAAGTCTGTGAGCAAACAAATCTATTATAGTAACTAATCTCGCGTCTTCCCTTTTTGTTGTTACAACTGAGATGATTTCATTCTTCTCGTAGACATCTTCACCACCTCCGTCCACATTGTCAGACGCAACAACGTATCCTTCCGCCCAAAGTGAGGGCCTCAACGCCAGCGGTATCCGATTTCAAACGCCTTTGAAAGATCGGTTGCTCCAACAAAGAAGAGAATGGATCGGTAATGTATTGTAGTTGTCTGAGGGACGAAACTAACTAACTGTAAAAGGAAGCCGAGTTTAGTGCGAATAAAATCTTTAAAAGAAAGCGCGCATCGAGAACTAGGTTATTTCGCGGAAGCCTATCGTAAGAAAGTTACCTGCGATTACACAGCAGCAGCTCGGCGAGATGGCACGATAAATGCGAAAGAGTACAGCCAATAGGAACGCACTTCGGGTTGGTCGACAGCCCTAACGCCCAATAATCACAAGGAAATGGCTTCTAGTCCCGCCTTCTTCTTGACGCTCACTTTCCCTGTGTATTCGGGGAGGTTGGCTGTGGGGCTTCGACATGCCCGCTGACATCATTTTAGTATGCAGGTTGCAGGGAACACTTTGCTTTTATTTAATGTTGCACAAGCTGTAGCCACTCTGTAGCCGCTATAGACCACAGGCCTAGATCTAAAGGACCTTACAGGAATAGCCTACCATCTATAGGCATCGTAAGTGTCTAGGTTAGCCTATTTTAGTTACCTATTCAAAATAAATACAACACCCTTTACTGCATTTTCATCATAGTTTATAAAGTAGCCTATACTCTAGCGCCACTTTTGAGACTATTTATTTTCTTAATTTTTCAAACAAACAAATAACCTTATAATAGGTAGGCTTATAGTCCTGGGTTTCTGAAGACCCTGTTATGGCCTAATGTTTATCTAAAATGGGAATAAGTAGTCCCAACTTGCACCTGGGCATTCGATTAATATGCTCTGTATAATATTATTATTACCCTACATTAGAAAATACACTGTATTGATTGTATGATTCTAAGATCGGTAGAATGCCTCCATGAACCTGGCTTCAGTTGTGACCTTACATTTGAAAACAACACCATTAGTGTGAAAATAATGTCCTGAGATTCTCCGTTTTTAAAGGAGTTGGCAACCATAAGATCAACCCAGCCTGCTCCAGAGTGGAGTGGAAGACGAGGGGAAGCTATAGGACTCTTATGTAGTGCTCCTGGGATATTTCAGAAGAAATTGATTTCACAAAAAGACTAGATGCGGTTGGTGATGGATGTGCCAAACGCTGCAAAGTATAGGCCTATCTGATGAAGCCAAAGGTTGGTTGTGGATAAATGCTAAAATACATTGGTGATTTAAATATCACAAAAGTGCATTATTGAATAATTAAGAATGACTTTTCTTTTACATATGGAAGTCTGCTGGTCCTCAAAGATACAAGGCACTCTATAGAAAAGTGTATGTAGGTGTTAGACAGCTGTTGTTTTTAACCTGAGGGCAAACCTTGTCAAAGAAAAAGGAAGTTCAAATGACCCCTCTTTGTTTCCTGTCAACAACCTCCAAAATCACTGTGCAGTGTTTTCATAAAGTGTTTTTTTCTGAGACACAACCACTAAAGAATAGTTTACATACAACTGTTTACGTAGCATCCATAAAATATAGGCCAACTGGTAGTCTTTTATTGTAAACCATTCTTCTCTGACCATATTAGGGTTGTGCTACACAACATTCTTAAATTTAACATGTTTAAAAACCTAATATTAACTATTTAGCATATCCTTAAGACTGGGAGTGTATGTGAGGTTACCTGTGGGATAGGGGATTTGCTGTCAATAGGACATATAGGTAAATAATCCATTGGGTGTCCCCTTGGGTAAAAGGAAAGCCTCTGCATACATTAATTAGCCTCACGGACTGTTTTAGGAATGTAATGGGTTAGAGCAAGGAAGCAAGGCACATGGTCCATAAATACCATTACACAAACATAAACAGAACTTTACACAGTTATTTTTCACTTTATTTGTTCACCTTATTGTAGAAAATGTGAATTTGTAGAAAAAGTAACTTTCTTTGTTTTATTTGATTTTATGGATTTCATGTTTTATTGCATTTTGTCAAAGATCATGCAGAACGTAGATGATTAGAGGTAAGATATCCAAAGATTTAAATTTAAACAGGTGGAAACATCTGTTAAGGAAAATGATTATTTTAGCGGACACAGAAAAATCCCTCATATTCTCACTTTTTCCAGAAGACGTTAAGCTTCGGGTAAGAATGCTGTTGTCAGTATTAGCAATGAGGCTTGTAAGCCCTCCAAGTAGTTTGTAGTAACAGCTGGGTCTGACATGGAGTGCATGTACAAGGGCAGCCAGGCTGAAGAGAGGGAGGGAGGGCCAGCAGAAAAAGAATAAAAACACACGATACTTCAGCCACCTCACACTGAGTGCATCTAACAGACACAAAAGACTAAACTCTTATGTAAATGAGTTGTGCAACAGGAAGCTGAAAAGAAAAGAATGAAAATGATTGTGTTGTTGTTGCCGTCATGTTCTACTTTGAACACTTTTTTTTACATTACATGTAAGAGCTTATTCATAAATTTTGATTTACTTTAATTCATTTTCCATGCCCACCGCATTCTCCATTTTATCCTAAAATAAAGAATTAGCAGGAAGAAGGCGCAGTGGCCTAAGTGTACTGTGATGATAAAAGGATGTTACAGTAACCCCAGTATAACGCTGGGTAATGTGCCACATGGTAACCTCAAAAGGACTGCATCATTATCCCGCCTGGGTAAAACAAAAACAACTAACCATGTCATCTATTATCTGGACATACGCTCACATCACAATGGACATGGGTGCAGAGCTGGAGGATACTGTCGCACATGCCCTGGGTGATTCCTTCAAGCCATTCCCAGCTCCATATCTGTAATTAACGACAGATGCACATAGAAAATTAGCATATGTTTGGCACATTGGTGCTAATCGGTCATATTTGTGCATATTAATGAAATATCTATTTATGTACACACACTTTGGGTTACATAAATGTAGACACATAAATTAATGCAGGAAGCAGCAGTGAGAAATTATTTCAGCTATGTAGGATGCCATTACCAGAAATATTTTTTTAAAATGTCACACACTGGTTACTAGTACTAGTATTACATATGAACAAAATCATAGCAGTAATAGATTATGCCAAATGTGGTCACTCTTTATACTTTATACTCTTTATTTGCTTTAAAGATGAATAACAACAACAAATTTTAGAATTATATAACAAATTGTCACCAGTTTGTCTCATGAAAATGAATTGATAAAATTTTTAGATTAGATTAGTTTTGTCAACAGATATTTACAGTTTCTGGCACGTGTAAATATCTAAAGTAATTGTACAGTAGATAATTTACCAGTTGTGTGTATAAAATATATATTTTGAATACTACAGTAAAACATTACTACTTATAATTTATTTTATCAAGCTTATAATTCTGTTTAATTAATACTTTTAATACACATTTAAATCTCTAGTACAAATTTTAAGTCATTTTGCCAGAATGTTATATTTTTTATACAGTGCTTGCTCATTTCTTTCAAATTTGTTTCAAAGGGTAGACCTGTTTTGCATATATTTACTGTATTAAATCAGGTATTACTGCTTTAATATTTGTACCTGGCTCTGTCACATACATATTTAGTACCCAATGGCATCCTCCTCACTGAGCTCGTGTGAAAGCAGCCATGCGCGCCAAAGCTGCATCACTGGGTTATATCACACCACACACATTCTACACAAGACGATTTGGCCGTAAAGACAGAGTAGGCACAGCACATATGCACTCCGTGGTCGCTATTGAGGCAAGCTGCTCACCTCGCTCCATACTGCGCCCCTCACAGTCTGTAATAGTAGAGGCTTAGGTTTGGGTGGGGGAAGGGCAGAGGTGCACACAGGTTTCTCATCAGACAAGGAAAAGAAAAAAACTAGGCCAAGGCCAAGAAGAATCCCTCCTTTCTCACAAGACTCCACCTAAATACTTCCGCTCACAGCTGCAATGGCAAATGCCTGAATGTTATCAACAGCGGAGTAACAAAGTGATTTTGGCCAACACAACACATGTATTGGGAGGTTTCTCATAGTCGAGCCATGATTCATGCTTCCTTGCCCCTTTGGAAGCTGTCCTCCAATGAGAGTTAGAGACTGGGGGTAGGAGTGGATAGATTGATAGTGTTGGCTGGGTGCCCGTGCTCAGAGTCTATCTATGCTGAAGGGGAGGAGACAGGGAAGAATCTATGTGTTGTACTTGCTGTGCTTGTGATAAACTCCAAGCATTTCCCCCCCATTACAGCTGGCCTGGCACAAAACAGCATTCACTAACTTCTGTCCAAACATACTGCATTGAGAGTTAAACAAGGCAACAACTTTCTAAGCAAAAGTTAGGAACAGTCATAGAGAGGAGTGAATGTGATATGGGCCCACACAGGAACTACTTAATGTACCAGTAATAATTGTAATATTTCTGCCAGATAAATTACACCACATTTGGAAAAATTATATTTAAGCCATTTCATTTGTCTCAAAAAATACATTTAAAAATGTATGCTCACTAAATTTGTAGAGCATAAAACAAGTGCACATTTCCTCAAAAATAATTCAGTTAATATTTTGAGCTTCAATACACAAATTGTGTGACTTTAAGAAAAAAAAATTATATCTTAAAAATGTAAAAGCCTTTTTTCTTCTTTTTTATGGCTTCTTTAAATTTTTTTCTGTTAGGCACAAATGCACTTATAACCTAATAATTTGCTTGCAGGGCTGAAAAGCAGAGCCACAACTGGTCCACAGGCCAAAAGTGTAAACTATGGGTACTAGGTCTTGAGCAAAGGAGCCCTAGCTGATCAGTTGTAGTATCTTGTATAGCCATGAGTCACACTGTCTTCACATAAAATCAGTATAATAATGAACTGTAGCTGTGCTTATACAAACTAGCAGTTATTTATCCTAACAAGGACTCTCTTCCATTTCTTTTGGTCAAGAATAAGCTTAAGTCCACATAATCTCCAGGCAGCTTCCAGCATGCAATATTAACAGACAGCTAACAATAACAGCAAACCATGGCAAGAGTCCATTAGGTTATGCAATAATTGGGAAGAAGAGCAATTGTTTTGGAACAAACGAGGACAGCGTATCTGAGTATACTCCTGCTCTCAAAACAGAAAAGTTACAGAGGCACCACTGACTGAAGCATCCTCAAAATGAAGGGTTTGGATGTTTGGAAATGCAGTGCTTTCTCTTTCATCCCAAATAGTAATTCTCACAGAGTGCAAAAGAAAATGAGTTTGAGGGATTGTTCG